GATCTATGCTTTTGCTCAGATTTCAGAATATACAGTTGCAAATATTTAAACTGCTATAAGTTTCCTTGTTTATGAGCTCTCTTCGTTTTAATGTAAACGATTGTTTTCAAAAATATTTCTCGCTCCGAGCTATTTAATATTTGATGAAAGATTTAAAAGATTTTTGCATACATACTCGCTGGAAATGGGTCCGACGACAAATTGAAAACTGCAGCAGGAAGTTTATCGTCGCGGATAGTGCGATCACGTGATCATTCAGAGAATTCCCCGTCCCTTTTGTATGATTTTAACAAGCATCATACTAGTACGAAAGTTAATACAATTCCTACATATTTCTTCGTCTTGTTACAAGAATATATCAACAGAATTATATTTTAAATTATGTGTAATGCAGCAATAATTAAAGCTATCCTACACATTAAACGAAATTGTCCGGAAGGCCAAAGTACCAATCGGATAATTTGACATAATTCATGTAAACGATGCTTGATTCTCCGTAGAGCGCAGTCGCAACCCCACCCACTGTTCATGACAAATGCAACTTTTACTTCCGGTTGACTTCAGCCTCTGCACAAGGTTTTTTGGGTTTAGGAGTATTCTTGCGTGGTGCTTCTGTTATCCTACATCATCCGTGATTTTTTCTCAGCTGCATTTGCACTTTGCAATTCTATATCTCCCGGGATATATTTTGTTTGTCGTATGTCCATCCAGAATCTCAACACATTCGGTAAATATTATATTTTCTATTCCGTACCGTCGTTCATATTCGTGGAGATAGTTTTATCAAAATGGCGATGGCGTCTTTTGCTTGCATCATAGCACGCAATTAACGTTTTACGTCGTTCGCCCGTGTCCTACTTTCGATAATCGTTCTCGTTCGAAGAGGATTCTCTTAAGCTTGGACAGAAAGTCGAGTAAATTGTAACGCGAGATCGATCGCACGGTGGTTTCTTCCAGACCCCTTTGCAGATGCAATCAAGGGTTCAGATGATGATGTCCAAGACGGTCTCGTGCATATAAGGATCCAGCAACGGAATGGTCGTAAGACCTTAACAACTGTACAGGGACTTTCATCTGAATATGACTTGAAGAAAATAGTGAGAGCATGTAAAAAGGTAATGCAATTGCTATATTGACAATATTTAACAATTGGCCTTTGTCAGTGTCAGATACTGTGCTAAAAATAGAACTGATGCATACAACTGTCCAGTAGAAAAATGTAATTGCACACAATTTCACGCGCACGACCTTGCTCGTGCTTAATTTTATAAGAAAATTTTTTACTACAACTTTTCTTACTTGTCCCGATGTAAAAACTCTACTTGACATTTTTAGACAAATATCCC